TCAGGGCCTCCCCGATCATATCAAACATGTTTGAATGTTTGTTGAACATGTTGATTTTAAATCGGGATGATCACTCATAACTATGATTACGTCAGTACTTTCACAATAGCCAATGTGCGACTGCAAAACAAGCTGCTGTAGGGGTCCGTTAGTGGAAATAACGAAAACCTACCACAGCCGTAAGGACAAAGAGAAGCGCTGGGGTGAAATCGCCTCAGTTTTGAACGTACCGGGTGAGTGTAGAAAGGTGCCAGCAAGCAAGCTAACACATGTAAACATTATTAGTTGTTGAAACGCCAATGACGATCTGCTGTGTGAGATCACGTGAAGCGCTCCCTCTGGCATAAACTTAACGAGATAAAAAAAAAAATTTTTTTTCAAGAAAAACTTTGAAGTTGGCTTGAGAAAGCCAGACCAGAAAGTTCGAAAAAGTTTTAAAATCTTGAAGATTGAAAGTTTTCAGTTTGAAGTGGTTTGGATTTTAAAGAAGTTTTAAAGGTACAATATGTAAGTTTTCACCACTAGAGGGCGTGTATTCAAAACAAACAAAGGCATGGTTTGATGACGCTGTGACTGAGTGTGGAATCATGGGAGTTGTTGCTTCATCCCCACAGCCGACGCAATCCGACGGGACTCAGGCAGAAATCATGTTCATGGATGAGCTAATGTATTAAAGATTTATTAACATCGTAGTATGAAGCAGAGTTAGGCGGAAAGCCATCGAAGCGAAACGAGGCCGCTGAACGAGCGTGACACACGGCTAGAAAGCAGCGGAGCTTTTATTATGCCACACTTTAGCGCTTCCGCTCCTTCCGGTCGTGCGTATGTGGGGTAAAGCAGCGCTGTTTTATCATACTAGATACATATGAAAGTTCTGTTATTATGCTACTCTGTGCGGTCGTCACGTATCTAATAAAATGCACAATATATTAAAGTGTCTTTGGCGTTTCCATGTTTTCTACAAAACAAAACCGGAAATCGAGGGGTTATGACGTCATTGGCAGGTGACACTATAGACACACTCCATGTCACTAGTTAAAATTGCTTATTTCTCTGGATTTAAACATTCTTCGAAACATTTGGGATAATGTAAGTACACAAGTCAGCAAAATATATAACACTGTTCTTTGGATATTTTAATAAAAAACATATTGCACCTTTAAAGCTTAAATTTTGAATATTTTGAAGGCTATACAGTCTATCAGAAAAACAGAGAGAGAGAGAGAGAAAACAGGTAAAACCAGCAGATTTGGCAAATAAACCAGCCAAAAACCAGCTGATTTAGTTTAAAAAAAAAAAAAAAGCCAAAAACCAGCTCATAGATAGATAGATAAGAAATATTTGAAATATTAGAATGGGAAGCTTAAATTAGTCTAAATGTATTAGAAATATTACATAGAAGGGAAGCTTGATTGAGTCTCAGTTTTGACAGTTGGAGTTTGGCTCATTTGAACATTCTGTCAATGTAAGTCTATGGGATATTTATTCTTTTTAATCTTCATTTTTATGAAAACCATAAGTCAGATCAGTCTGAAAATATATTGCACACTAAATCGGAACAGTCTGAAGGTCTGACCCAAGTTTGGTGTTTGTAGCTTGAAAACTCTAGGAGTAGCATTTAATTTAATAATAATGTAATTAATTTATGCATTTAGCAGACGCTTTTATCCAAAGCGACTTAAAGTGCATTCAGGCTATACATTTTTTACCCGTATGTAAAATGTATTTAGAAACTTTATTATTTTCATAATAATAATAATAAGCTTAAATAGCAGATCGGTAAGTTGGCTTTCTCAAGCCAACGTAATAATATCTTGTAGTATGTGATGCGCCACGATTTTCAAATCTTGTTTTGTGTGCATGTTTAAGATTTGAGGGAAGAAAATCTGTGAAGATTCTCCTTATGTTTGTGCTGCAACCAGATTTCATAATCGGTTAGGATTTTAAAACTCCAGTAGTCTGATCCCGGGTTAATAACAGCGATTCCAATGCAAGCTGCTACGTCACAGCCACACGGTCGACCACAAGATTCATACAAACACAAGTCCAGACCCCCATACAATAAAACGATGCTGCAATGACCTCTGTTTGTGTACCAGTCAATTGACAACTTCAGTTTTATGGCATTGAGGAGTCCTCTGCAGGACACCGGCCCTCCAGGACCGAGTTTGGACAGCCCTGCTGTAGTTCATACTATCACATGTCGGATGAAAAGTCACAACAGGGGGTCTTTGGTTGGTTTTGGCTATAAGGGATACAGCTACAGCCGGGAACATAACAATAAAGTAAATTTGCTCCCTATCACATTCTGTTTTACTAACGTCTACACCTACCCCAACACTAAACCTAACCTTACAATAATGCAAATACAGTAATTGTTGTTCTGCGTGACGAAAATTAAGCAATATTGATGTGCGCATGCCCAGTAAGCACTGGTGGCGTAGCTGTATCCCTTCTAGCGTCAACCGGGGTCTTTATAACAGTAAGATTCGGGCTTCCTAACGGCGCCGGGATAATAGTCGGGTTACAACTGCTCCACCAAATTAAACCCAAAGTCTGTGTGATTTTTCCTCCGCCAGCGGCTGTGTTTACACTGAACATTCTATGAGATGTAGCTAGGCAACCAGTCAGCCTCTGCCATCTCTCTTTCTTCCTCTTGAGAGGGAGCTTATGTGGGCTTAGCTCTAGAGGAACAGTGGCCCTTTGCAGCGAAGAAGGGAATTACCATGGAAAACACTGGATTGTGCCCGCACACAAAGGGCAAAAGAGGGAGGCTGGCATGGCAGAGTGATTCTGCAGTGCGGAAATAGACAGACATCATTAGTCGTAGTCAATTTTGTCACGAGTTGCTGAATTTACAGGATGAGGTACAAAGTGGGATATGTACTGTAAGAGAGGCATCTGAGGATACTTTTTGACTGAACATGCAGAACTTTAGATTTCCAATGATCTACTTGTAGCCTAGAAGCATTAACTCGTCTTGCCTTGCCAACTGTCATGCACTCATGAGTTTAACTCTTAAACCTGCGTATATCCAGGGGGGATGACTGTGACTGGATAAGTTTGAGAGCCAAAGTCCAACACTGAAGTGTTTACTCTATCCTTACGGCTCAGTTCGACCAGGAAGGAAAATCGCAGTTCCACCAAAAAGCTCAAACAACAGTGAATGAAGAACCAGTAACAGGCTGGAGTCATAAATAAAAAGTCAGATAATGTCCTTTTTCATTTTCAGCTACAAGCTAGCGTTTATGTCTAGCAGAATGCTAAATCAGCCCAGATGCAGTCACAATGAACGCAGGTCTACAGTGCCATCTAGTGCACAACAAGAGAACAACAATGTGATGTCCATTTCACGAACCAATGGTTCTTTTGAACTGGTTATTTGAATCATTCGTTTGAACCACTTCGCATTGCGTTTGTAAATCACTCGCCTTAGAGAAGTAAAACGTTGAGTTCGGGTGACCGCCTCATTAAACATAAAACCTAGTAATAAATGTTATATCTAAAAGAACACTCACAACAACACCAAAAACTGTGGGCAAGGGAACATGCGTGAGTCAACCAAATCGAGAGTCGTGTATTTGAATCAGTTAATTAAAGTGAACAGTCCTATTTGTTCAAATGAATCTAGCAATTAGGGATTCTAATTGTATTATAAAAGCACACCACCAAGTTTTTTATAGAAACTTTGTCCACTTTTATTTATTAAAACATCTTTATAAAAACACAAATATAAAATGAATGGGTAGTTCCACTGTGAATTCTTTTTTTTTTTTTTACATAGGTAATTTGCACATTACAAAGCCACCTTCTATGAAAAACATGATATATAATTGCAGTTTTCTTTTAACACAATTTTTGCAGAGTAAAATCCAAAAGGGGAAGGAAGCTAAAAACAAGGCAAAATAAAAGAGAAAGAAAAAAGAAAAACAATAGAAAGTGAAAAAAAGAAGAGCACAAGTCTGCTCGAGAAAGTAAAGGAAAATGCATCACTGTATGTGTGAGTATGTGACAGAAAGTGTGAAAGAGCGATAAAGAAAGACAAAAAGGGAATGACAAAGAATGATAATAACAGCAAAAAAGACTAAGAATGAGAAAGAAAGCCCTAAAGACTGAAATGAGGGAAGGACATAGGCTAGCTGCTATTTGAGAAGGGCTCGGTAGAGCAGTTGTGAGTGGCTGGTGCTTCTCTCGTTCTCTAGACAGAAGAGCAGATAGTTCTCTAAAATGTGTGAATGATAATATATGACAAATATTATATAAATAATATAAGAAAATAGCATAAAACAGGAAAATAAATAGTAATAATTTGCTGAAAATGTGTTTGATAACATTTCAATAAATGAATATTTAAATAATGTACTGCAATTATTTTTCTGAACGTGATAATATATTGTAATATTAATATAAAAATATAAACAAAAAAATAGCATGATATAGAATTACTTTTTTAAATACATTTTTGAAGTTTTTCTCTGCAAAATGTGAATGATCATATAACAAAAAAGAATAAATCAATAAATAGCATGATATGCGCTGGCGAGTGTACTGCCTCGACGCTCCTGCATTTAAGCCCCTGGATGCACTCACGCACAAACCTGAGCCCTGTCAACACACACACATGAACTTTGACAACAATGCTAATCTGCTTGAGCGAACATTTTAATACCAATGTTGGTAGATTCAAAAATAGCATGATACGTGAATATATACTTAAAATTGTGTAAAAAAAAATAGCTGAAAATGGCTGTGACTACGCCTTTAGACTGTCCTATCTGCCATTTGAGACAATCTGAGACGACCCTTGAAGCACCTTACATCTCAAACCTGTCCAACAGGTGCTAAATGATTTAAAGAGGGCACAAAGAGGCACAGAAGGAGATGAGGAGGAGGGCAGCAGACTGCCACGTTGAGGAAGAGATGTTTGGTACCTCTGCGTCACTCCCAAGCGAAGGAGAATCCAGTTTTCTTTTCTTTCTAGGTCCAATAGCCGCCAACTCTTCTTTCTTGTGTTTCTCCAACTGGTCAAGTTGCTCAAAGAACTTCAGCTGAGAGCGAACATCCTCCACCTGCTCGTACCGACTATCCTCCTGCACACACATCATTAACATTACACACAGCCTTACAGGCTCAAAACAAAAGCTGGCACCCAAAGGATGGAGCGCTTTTGAGACCAAAAACAGCCTCTGGATTCATAATTCCAATTCTGACTTAAATGAAACATATCCAGGGTTTAACAAAGTGTGGTAAAGAAATATAGCAGACTTGCCTTGTAAGTCATGTTCTTTTGCTGGGCGATCAATGAGACCTTCTCTAGAAGGTTTTGAAGTCTCTGTTGAGTGGCGTGAGAGATGATGTTCACAACCTCTGGACCCAGCTCTGTCACTCCAAACCTTTGGCCTGACCACATGCAGGACAACAACTAGTAGCTCTGGTAAACAGTACATTTTAGTCAAATCGAATACAAGATTTTGCCGTAACTAGAAGTCTCACCAATCTCTAGTATCTTGTGCTGTAGCATGCTGGCGGAGAGGAAAGCTTCATCCTTACAAGACCGCGTGACTGCGCCAACCAGCTCCGAGTTGGTGGCCAGGATACGAGCGCTCTCCTCCGACAGATTAACGCCTGCCATTGAGGCCACGTCATTAATGTCGTCATCATCCCTGTACAGATTTAGACATATAAGTATATATGTTAGAAAGAGTTTGAGAGTCTGTTTCTCTAATTGTACAAATGCTGCAAAACTGACTTTCTAAATGCCTACTAAACATGCCCTAACTGAAATATGACATTGCATAACTGCTCTAATGACAATTTACCATACTTTCAATTATATAAAACTATATAATACATCTGTGTAATATATCTATTAATATATTGTAAATAAATATCATACTTAGAACTCTTAAAAGGTAAATTATGCATTTTTCATAATTAATCATTTATATGTTCAGTGCAGTGTTGTTATTGTCAACTAAAATTACAACTTAAAAATAGTTTTCATTAATTTAAATAAAATAAAAAATATTAGATTAAAAAAAAAACTTAAATGTCAAAATGTTAAAAAAGTATAAATGTTGGCTTCACCGCTAAATTACTAAAACTAAAATTAAGCTGACAAAAGCACAACAAAATTACTAAAACTTAAAAAGAAATATCAAATAAAATACAAAAATATCAAATAAAATATCAAAATAATAGCTAATTGAAAATAGTAAATAATATAATAGTATTTCAATAATACTAAAATAACACTGGTTCACAGTATAAAAATTTATATTACACCGTTATGCGACCCATGGTCATGATAATATCACTGTAACGGTCATAATTTACACACAAACGACTGCGTACAGCCTGAAATGAATTAAACAATAGCTAATTGAAAATAGTAAATAATATAATAGTATTTCAATAATACTAAAATAACACTGGTTCACAGTATAAAAATGTATATTACACCGTTATGCGACCCATGGTCATGATAATATCACTGTAACGGTCATAATTTACACACAAACAACTGCGTACAGCCTGAAATGAATTAAATGATGAAAATGTAAGATCTTTTCATCACAATCAGTTTAGCCAAACTTTGTGTATTACTCATGTTGTGCACAATGTCTTGTAATGGAAACGTTGCTGTTCATTATTTTACATGGCAGCAGAAAAGTGAAATGAACACAACGCAAACCTGAAAGTTCCTCCCGCACCATCCTTTGTTTTATTCTTCTGAGCTAACGCTATAGACATGGAGCCCGGAGCCAGTTTAGTGCTACTCACAACACCCTGCTTCACAGCGACTGAAAGAGAGAGAGAGAGAGGTTACGTTTTGTGTCATTACACTATGAAACACAAAACAGGCAGTGATGGATCTGACGGACACACTCACCTGTCTGGATCTGTTTGAGCTGCACCTGAGGCTGACCCACCACTATGTGGCCGTGGGGTTGACCCCTGAGCGTCACCATGGGAGTGGTTGTCAGGGTAACCTGAGGGGGCTTCACTATTGCCCCCTGCTGTGGAGGCTGCAATACCTGAACAACGACATTGAATGCCATTCTATAATTACAACCATATGGGAAAAAATGTACTTTACAAGACTCAAAGATGGATGTGAGAATTTTGGGCCAGCTGACGGAATTAATCATGTATATTTATTTTTAAATATTTGTTTATATATGAATTCATATTTATTACTGTTATTATTGATCATGTATATTTTTTAAATATCTTAATAATAATTATAGTAATATTATTTGTTTGTATCATAATAATAGCAGTTATTATTATTATTAATACTAAATACTAATTTAATAATCAATTAAAATGAGGCTCAAACGGGCCTCAAAATGAATTTAACCTCATGTTATTATAATTGCATTACCCTTTATTTCAACAAAACTGTTTTGAATGTGTATCTTTAACTACATTTGTCATACGTTAACACTGATTTAAGTCTCATGATCCTCAAGTACACATAAACCATGAAAAAATGTATTCGTGAATCAGACTGACCAGTTGCGTTGCAGTGTCTATACCAGTTTGTAGATGCAGTCCAAGAAACACAATCATAGCATTTTAAAAGGGTGTTCCTGTCCACTTTAGTGAAAAATGCAGACATTCAAGAAATATTAATCAAACGGTGTCATAAAAATCATGTAGTTCCTTTTAATGAATCCGGTACTGAATAAGAACCAGTTCACAATTCCTAACCCTTGTCCTTTATCCATATTATCAGGCAAAAAAACTTACTCTTTGTCACCAACAGTCAATATCCCACACCAATGTGTAAGAAACATCAGTTAATAATATGCATATGATGTTTTTCTTTTGTATTAATTGACACTGCTCAGACTGATTTTTTACTTTGCCGCAAGGCAAATACAGGCATTACCATTCAATAATTTAAACTCCAATTATTTAGCTCAGTGTAAATTAAGACTAAACACCTCATTTTACCTGTAATGTGCTGTTAAGCATTAATAATCCCAACAGTGTCCTTGAGTCTCACTAAACAACACATCAGGTAAATTATGCATGTAGATCTGTGTTTACCAGAGAGGCAGTCTGGCTGGAGTTGCTGAGGGCAGGCTGGATGAGCGTGCGAGGGGCTGCGGCGGTGGCACCAGCAGTATTGGTGCTGGTTAGCACCACAGCGGGCGCCTGGAGGGCCTGGCTCTGCTGGATGAAGGCCGTGGAGTCAGGAGTGAGCTGTCTCAGAGCTGGAAGACTCCTCTGAGGAAACACATGGAAAAGAAGGGATTCATTGTGGGAAACAGGACTGCCCCGATTATAAAGTTTTGGCTGGTAATAGATCGTCATATAAGCAATTGCAAATAACGGTTTCATGCAACTCCATTTGCCTATTCGCTTTAGCTAAGCAGCACTGTGTGGCTTATGCAGGCAGTGTGAAAGCTGCAATGCGTTAACACAACCACCAAAATGAACATGCTGCTTACATGCGCTTTGTGAAACGGCTAAATAAGATAAGTTTGTTCAATAAACATTGTATTTCCAGTTCGCTCTTAAATCATTTTCCCTCCAATTAGTAAACACTTCGAATAATTTATTAAATATTAATTACTATATAATTACCTGTTTCCGAATCACAATAATTTAGTTACATTTTCATAATATTTTAAGAACTTTACCTTAAGGAAAGGCACTAGATAAGGCTGAGGAGAGGAGTTGAGCTCTTTGTAGAGCCTGCTGGTGAACTCCTCTGCTTCAATCGTCCCTTCCTAAGGGGACAAACACAAAAACAACTCACACATAGGGACATTTTAGCATATTTAGAGGTTCATGTCCCCCACGACCAATGACTAATACAGTGGGTTCAAAAGTCTGAGACCATATTAAAATATTAATTTAAAATAAACATTTTAGAATTAAAAAAATGTCAAACAGAGAAAAATTATGGAGTAAAATGAAGAAGAAATATATAAGATTCTTTACTATTTCTATTTAACTAAGTAAATTTGTGACAAATCGTTTTTATATAAAAAGACAGATTGTGTCCATTAAAGGATTAGTTCACTTCTGAATTAAAATTTCCTCATAATTTTCTCACCCCCATGTCATCCAAGATGTTCATGTCTTTCTTTCTTTCTTCAGTCGAAAGGAAATTAAGGTTTTTGAGGACAACATTCCAGGGTTTTTCTCTATATAGTGGACTTCAGTGGGGTTTACTGGGTGGAAAGTCCAAATCGCAGCTTCAGTGCAGCTTCAAAGCGTTCTACACGATCCCAGACGAGGAAGAAGGGTCTTATCTAGCAAAACGATCTGTCATTTTCTAAAAAAAATACAATTTATATACTTTTTAACCTCAAACGCTCGTCTTGTCTAATTCTGCGTGAACTCTGTGCATTTCACTTCATGACAGTTAGGGTATATCGAAAAACTCCCATCTCATTTTCTCCTCCAACTTCAAAATCGTTCTAAATCGTCCTACATCGCTGTTTTACCATTTTTTTGTAAAGGGCGTTTGACTTCTTTGCACATTCACTTTGTAAACACTGGGTCGGTACTTCTGCAGCGATGTAGGACGATTTTGAAGTTGGAGGAGAAAATGAGATGGGAGTTTTTCGACCTACCCTAACTGTTTCGAATGGGACTGCACAGAGTACGCATGCGCATTGCAGAGCTACACAAGACAAGCGTTTGAGGTTAAAAAGTATATAATTTTTATTCTTTTTTAGAAAATGACAGATCGTTTTGCTAGATAAGACCATTCTTCCTCGTCTGGGATCGTGTAGAACGCTTTGAAGCTGCACTGAAGCTGCGATTTGGACCTTTCCACCCAGTGAACCCCACTGAAGTCCACTATATAGCGAAAAACCCTGGAATGTTGTCCTCAAAAACCTTAACTTCTTTACAACTGAAGAAAGAAAGACATGAACATCTTGGATGACATGGGGGTGAGAAAATTATGAGGAAATTTTAATTCAGAAGTGAACTAATCCTTTAAAGCACATCATGATCATCAGGTTTTACACAAACTTCATGAGTATATGCAGCTCAAGTACATTTTCTGCAGGCAAATGATTTAATAATTTATTCAGAAATTCAAATAAATTTTTCAGTTACACTTTTTAATGAAACCGTTATGCTGACAATATAATTTTAAATGGAACAAAATGGTTCAATTGTATGAATAAAATGTAAAATCTTTAAATATATAATTATTAAATAAATATATGATTACAAATTATATTAAATATATACACTACCATTTAGTAGGTTGGAGTCAGTAAGATTTTTTTAGTAAATTAATACTTTTATACAGCAAGGACACATTAAATTGAGCAAAAGTATCATGTTTTTCATCAAAATATTAAGCAGCACAACTGTTTTCAACACTGATAATAAAATAAATATTTCTCAGTATATCAGAATGATTTCTGAAGGATCATGTGACACTGAAGACTGGAGTAATGGCATAGGAATAAATTACAAAAAAAACATTTAAATAGAAAAGGGTTATTTTCAGTTGTAATATTTAATAATAATAATAATAATATCATACAGTACAGTAATATTATTGTTTTTGCTGCATATTTGATCAAATAAATGCATCCTTGGTGAGCATAAGAGACTTCTTTTCAAAAACATAAAAAAATCTCAAGACCCCAAACTTTTGAACAGTAGTGAATAAAAAAATAATAATAATAAATACAAAGCATTTTCAAAAATGGTCACAGACTTGGACCCCACTGTAGGGGTAGACTATGAAACACTCATTCATCAAAGTGACAAAGTGAATCTGTTCAATTCAAATTTTTACATAAAAAATAAAATAAAAAACTTTTATGATAAAAATGTCAACCTTTTTTCACAGTCACAAACATACAGTCAACCTCTGAAACTTACCAGCAGGTTTTTGACCAGCTCTTTAACGTTGGCGACAGTCTCTGATGACTGCTTACCGCTAGTGGCCAGCTTTATCAGCGTGGACAAGAAGTTCCTACATTTCTTTACATTCTCCATTGTCTCCTATAAAAAAGAAAAGTGATTGCATTAGCACAAAGTAGTTTTACTCTGCAGCAGCTTAAGGTTATCTTGCATCTGTACCTCGGATGTATACAAATGTTCAGGTTAAGATTTAATAGCATCAAAAGAGTCTTGCATCAAATGGGGATATCAGGGGATTCCCACTCTGAGAACAGTTAGTTCATTTAGGTTTGCACTTGGAAACTCATTTTCACCAGCCATTAAATATAACCAGGTCAGTTTACAGACCCTTCAAGAAGCCTTTAAGCATGAAGCTAAATGTTCAGAATCGTTTCTTCAGTTGTGAACTAGCGTATCTTTGTGTGACTGCTAAGTTAGTGCAGCCTCTCACCGTTGCCGAGGAGACAGTGGTCCCCGTGGCAGCAGTCACAGTCCTCTGGGCGGTTCCTGCCTGCACTGACAACACTGCACCCACAGAGGAGGCCTGCTGACACACCAGAGAGAATGAGTATAAAGAGAGAAGATAACAGCCACCTTAGAAATACACTTTACAGCACAAACTGATTGCTGTCATTATTAAAGGGGCTGTTTCTAGGTGATGTGCCTTTTATAGCTACCTGTACAGGTGGTCTCTGGAGTGTGGTAGTGGCCGTGCTGCTGGCTGTTGGAGAGCCCTGCTTTATGATGGTGGTAGGAGTCACCTGTCGGGCCATTAGAGGAGTTCCAGGCGCCTGCAGGTATACAGGTATACATCAACAAGCAAAGACTGACAAGGGAAATTAATTCAAGAATTTAAAAAAGCATGGAACCAACTAGTTAATAGCTAACTTCATTATCTTACGGCCTAACAATAAAGTTGGGCGATGTCCCAGGGCCGATGTGAGAGATTTTTGGGCTAGCTGGCAAAACTCTCACTTACTCTGGACTTGTGCTGTGTCGCTACTTTTTATGCCTTAAAATATTATATTTATGCGATCTAATGAACAATGTTGTCAAATCTCATTTAATGTCAAAGTTACATTATCTAGCCTAACACAGATAAGAATTTGTCCTAATTTCAAAACTACTTATAGTTTTTAACGTATCAGTCAGAATGGATAAAAATTATAAAACAAAGTGACATTTCACACCATATTCCACTGTTTCCTAACAGTAGTGTATTTATGAATTTATACACATTTTGCAATGGAGTTACACTACTATTTAAAGGTTTTTGAAAGAAGTCTTGTATGCTACAAAGAGTGCATTTGTTTGATCAAAAAAAAAAAAAAAAGTATTACAATGTAATTTTAAGTTTTCTGTTTTGATATATTTTAAAATAAAAATGTATTCCTGTCATGGAAAAGCTGAATTTTCAGCGTTTCTTTGAAATAGAAATCATTTGTAACATTACAAATGTCTTTGCTGTCACTTTTAAACAATTTTATGCATTCTTGCTTAATAAAAACATTAATTCCTTTACAAATAACTTGCTGACTCCAAAAGTTTGGACAGTAGTGTACATTATTGATATTTTTGTTAAGAAAACACAGTTTTCAACTAAAGACATACACATAAATATGCTGTTTATGTAATAGCTATTGATCATATTTGTGGTGGCATGAGTAGAAATTGCAAAAAGGCAAGTAAAAATCTGAACTATTGGCCAGGTAGTTCAGATTTTTTTCTGCCTTTCCAAATTGTCACTGGCCCTACCACAAAAATGATAAACAGTCATTCAGTCCAGCAGAAAAAAAAAATCCTTATTATTAAAAACGTGCATCTGATATGCAACATTAATAACACAAAAAGTCTATAATAATCTACATAATGCACAAATGCATTTATTGTTCTGCAATCATTCTGAAATATGTCCTGCTGATGTCAATTCAGTTCAGGGAGGTCAGAAGGCATTACCTGTGCAGAGGTGATCTGCCCAGGGGTGGTGCTGGTGGGGGCAGCAGGGCGGGCGGCCTGAGACTGGGCCTGCATTTGTGCCAACATCTGCTGTGGGATCATCAGTAACTGACCACTGTCACTACGCACCAACACCATACCTGCGCACACAAACATCACACATATAGAAAGGCTGACATCATTTCCCATGTAAATTGTTATTCATTAGTGAACTTTTCCTATTAGGGTTGTGTGGATAGACGATAAGAGATATCACCTGTGGCTTATACCTTTGACGATAGCAAGACTATTATTATTATTATTATTATTATCATCAGGCTAGTAATACTATCTAATTAATATTAGGGCTTATTTGTACCATCATATTTTTTTCGCGTTTTTACAGAGTTGCGTGTTATAACCACACAATTCCGTTGACTTTAAGAATGCAATGGCCAATCAGAGGCGGTCAGATGAGTCAACGCTGAAACACCGGAGTTTTGTTGTCCAAATGCAGATGTACGTGCAATGTAAGCGTAATGGATTTATTCATCATACAGTGTAGACAGCATCACTGAACTTACAATGTTTCTATTAAATTGCTATCGAGTTAAATACAAATTCAGTCATATTAAAAATATTTTATATATTTAGTTAATAGATAAAACTACCATTAGGCTGCTTTTAGCCTTACCCTAGAGTTGGTTCACTCTCTGGCTATGAAAATATGAAAGTAAATAATTAAATAAATTAACATGATAATATCATGTGTCAGCTATCTCACAGGCTGACGACAGGACGATATGACTATGGAGTAGGGCTGGGCGATATAGCTAAAACAATTATCAACGATATAATGTTTCATATCGTTCGGTATTGTTAATTATTGACATTTTTTATAACCTTTTTTAAAACAAAGAGCAATAGAATTTTTTTTTTTTATTTAACCACTGTATTTTTAAATTAACCCAATTTTTTGAGACAAACAAGAAATATTTTTTGTTTTAACAATCAAACACAAAATAAAAATTAAACAAATATCTAATTTCTAATGTTTTATATGCAGATTAAATAGGTCTTAAGGAAACTTTTGTCTTGTCTCCCGAGGCCACAGGAGGGCGCAATGAACAAAATAATGCAGCGCATTTAAATTGTCAATTCAAGGAAGTAACTCTATAAAGAAACGTGCATTACATCTAATTAACTCATAAAAATCAAATATAATTTCATAAATTGCATAAACAATTATGAACAAAACAGCATCATGTATTTATGCATTGCTTAATCCAAAGAGCCGAAGCGCCATTCACACAGATTGCATTTAAAACATACGAGACGCAGTGAAAAGGAATAAACCTCCACAAATTCGTGACGTGTTTTCTAAAAGTTTACACTGTTTTAACTTTGCATGGTTTTCTATACATCTCTTGTGAGATGCGAGTGCAGCAGTCATAAAAAAAAAGCGCTGAATATGCGTTCTGTGTGAATGGCTTGGTTTCGGTTTTAACCTAATCAAGATCTTCTCCGAATTGAGCTTCTGTATTTCTCTCATATTTTGAATGAATAACGCAGCAGCAGCACGTCTCGTTGGCTAGACTAACAAAACATTCAAATGCAACAATGTCACTTACATCATCACCGCATCTCGTGCTCCACTGATGACGCTAACATTCCTACACCTAACATTCAAATGTTTATTTTAAATTCGACTAATATTCATTCTTTATTCACAATCTCCTCAGCACAGGCAGGCACAGCTCTCGTGTTTGTGTTTGTGTGTGCTGTCTGCGTCACTCATAGCACGTGTATATCGTGCGCTATATCGAAAAAAAATTTCTATCGTTATCGAAGAAGGTGTACCGTCGATAAATATCGATACCGTTTTATCGCCCAGGCCTACTATGGAGCATATCACCCAACACTATTTCCTATTGATCTGACTGGAGTCAATTCTGGCAACCGTGCCCTGCTTAGAGGCATGAAGAATAAAGCGCACAGTTGGTGGCCTATATTTGCACAGCACACTGAGAACCCTACACACTCCATCTCCGGTACCGTGTGAACCAACGGATGTGTTCTGAACAGAAAATGTTGGTTGGAGAATCCAGATGGCCTCTTGTAGAAAAATCTGTCAAGTATTCCGTGCAGCCAGACAACAGGCTTGTTAGAATGACCAGAGCATACAGACAAAAGAAAAATGCCAGTCACACTACACTTTTCATTTACATGTATGCGAACACTGAAGACTCACACTTAGAACTTTAACATTTTGCTAGTTTGGTGAATTTTACCTTGCAATTTCATATCACATCAAGTGAAAGTGATGTGTAGCCAAGTATGGTGTCCCATGATGTCCCATACTCGGAATTTGTGCTCTGCATTTCATCCATCCAAGCGCACACACACAACAGTGAGTATTGAACAAACACACACACCGTGAACACACAGCCGAAGCAGTGGGGGTTTTGGACTGTGGTACTGACGGTGGAAAAGCGCCGGTCCTTCACTCCCCCACCTACAATCCCTGCCGGTACTGAGACTCAAGCCCATGACCTTTGGGTTACAAATCTGACTCTCTAACCATTAGGCCACAACTGCCCCCTCAAGACGTGGGACCAACAGAACATTAATATAATGCACTAATATTAGTCACACCATCACCTCTTTGCAGATTGTGATATTTTTACATTATGAATTTATGTTTTTAAAAAGATGCTGCAGAGTCTGATGTTATATCACAACCGTTACAGTGTCAAAAGAAATTTTGCATGCTCAAAGTGAAGTGTAAAAACACTCCATAACGGAGAAGAAAGGTAGAAGAATGCAAGACAGAAGCAACTGAAACCAGAATATATTAGCAGATTTAAGTTATTAAATCACTGAAAGCTAGATTTTAAACATTTTAGCACTGAAAGTGAATGGAAGAATCTAAACTTTAATACGTATTTACAAAACAAAGAATCATATTTGCAAGCACTATAATCAATGGCCAAACTTTAACCCAACATTTTCTTCAAATTCAGTTACTACAGTTACAATACCTTAAAATTTGTTGATTTTAAGGCGGAAAAACTCACTTGGAAGAAGATATGTCGATATCAACAAGCTTTTTCTTATGCTTTTTTTTCTTATGCTTAAAGGCACAGTTTATCCACACACAAAAATTATGCCATCATTTACTCGCTCTTATGTTGTTCCAAACCTGTAGGATTTTTTCTTCTGAGCACATAAGTAGATGTTAAGCAAAATGCATCTCTTTTTCCCATACAGTGAAAGTGAATGAAGCAGTCATTCTGCCTGACATCTCCTTTTGTGTTGTGCACAATAAAGAAAGTTATGCAGGTTGGAAGGATGTGCAATTCTAGGGAGAACTATACTTTATATAAATTTCAGGAACTTTAACTGCGCTTGCTGTTGTTGTGTGCAGTATGTTTCCAGTGCAGCGCGCGCATCACAATACGCACGCACATCACAATACGCACGCACAAACTTAGCACGAGATCACAGATGTCTGTTAAAATCTCTACAACATCCTCATTACACAAATTCATATCATTATACACACATTTAAGGGGAGTGCTAGTGTGAGCGAGGGTACCTGGAGGTAGCTGGATGTTCTGGATGTTCTGGCCCGGGGTGCTCTGAGGGAGTCGGGGCGCTAACACCTGTGGCGCAATGGCCCTGATGGCAGGGCTCGATCCCGCTGCTGCTGCAACAGTTGCCGGAGCTGCAGTTCTCGAAACCCCCTGCAAAACAGCCCCCTTGGCCACTACAGGGCCGAGAGTCATGGTGCCGGCGGGCTGGATGATCGTTTTAGTAGCCTCAGACTTGCTCGCTGGGACAGAAGCAGGAGTCTGGTTCATCAAAAGAGGGGACGTTGTAGTAGTAGAAGTAGTAGTAGAAGTAGTTGTTATTCCCGGGGTCGCTACATTGGCTACAGTCGCCGAAACGGTGTTATTATTATTACTCCCGTTAATAGTTAAACCTGTTCCAGCAGTTTGCATAGATGGCCTGACAACTGTCACCGAGGGTCCTGCACTGAATGCCGCGGATGCTGCCGCTGGAGGATTCCCGTATGAAGACTGTATCACTGTGTTTGGGCTTGGGGCGACAGTGACGTTTCCGAGTCCTTTCGCCACCCCGGGCCCGTTATTAACAACTGGAACAGAAGTTGAAGCGTCGTCTGATGATGATGATGATGATGATGGGCCACTGGACACTGGAGTGCCGCTTTCAGTGTGCGGATCCATTGCATTGCCTCCGTTCAAAGTTTGCACTGTGGACGTCCCGATCAAAGTAGTTACCATAGCATTAAGAAACACCGGATCGCCTTAGCTGTCTTCCATCTGTGCCTCTGGCACATCAGTTCAGGACGTTTGGTTCATCCGCTTTTGCCTCCAGTTGCTTTTCGAAGGAACAAGCGTGAGTGAAGGGGAGTCTCGTGTCACAATGTCAATACAGATTTGACAAGCGCCCGGGTCACCTCAAGTCCACTAGTAACAATGCTCTTGGGAGAGATAATCATCTAGCACACTTGAAGAGCAGCAGCTTTCATTATGTTCATATGTACAAGAGCTCGCAGAATGTCAACATTAGCTAGTTGAATTGCCTCTTTTCCGGGAGTCAGCGGGGTGGTTTTCCGGCTGCCTGGGCGCTTACCTCAAACTTATTGTGACAAGATGTGGAAACTTCTAATCTAATACAACCTGAAGTATCGGTAAAAAGTTTCTTTCCCACTCTTTTAATACAGAAATCCTTAAATAGCAGGTCAAAGCCTGCCGCCATCTTCGATGTGAACAGTGAGGAGCTTTGGACAAAATGACAGTGCGCATGCGCGCAGAAGCGGAAACGTCATTACGCTGGACTTTTGCGGAGCCCTCATTGGTTGTCTCCCTGCGTGGAGGCGGGACATGTGAAACGTCAGTTGATTCTGGCGGAGCGAGAGCGTGGTTGGAGTCGGTCTGTCATAGAGAAAGGGACCTTGTGAAGTTGAAAAACAACCGTTGATTTGTACGCAGATTGCGCTTAGGTATATCTAGAGGCACTCTTAGATGTTATGTGTTGGTTATAAACCGTGTAGCGGCTATTCGGTGAACTTCACAGCGGGCTGTCTTCCCCCAAGATGGCCCCGTGTTTTGAAGCGTCTTGTGTTGAAAGCGTGAAAAGGCGCCACACCTCTGCCAGCGTGACTGGCCATAGAGGGCACGCGTGCAACTGCATCCATAGTTCACAGGGTTCCTGCTCAACCCCATTTGACTTACATTTACAGTATCCTCACGATTACTTCGCTCCGTTACATGGTATATTTTTGCAATCGCGTTTAATCCACTATTGCACTGTGCTAACTACAAATTAAACATTTCTTAAGTTTGCAAGCACGTTATGTAAATATAATATTGAAATAAAATAGTTAATGTATCGATAACCTTGAATGAACCAATAAAAAGCTTTTTTCTTGGACACAGGTGTCCAGGTGGTCATTTTAGTTGTTGTTTTTTCTTGACAGTTTAGTATATTGCTGTCATGTTTTTATTTAAACATTTTTGATTATTTTGATTATCCATTGTGCATTAGATCTTTAGCAATTAAAGTCTGTAACACATCTATAAGAAACAAGCTACTAATATTAAGTGTAGTAAAATCGTTTAACAGCATTGTTCTAATCTCAAATAAAAGGAACAAGGGCAAAGGCACCTCTCCAGTATGTTAATCTATAATTAATTACTTTGAAACTGTCAAAAAAGAGATTTCAAATATCTCTAATATTACATTTTATTCAATAATTGTAAAGTCCACAGAGTTTAACAGTCGGTTATGAAAAATGAAGATGCTGAGGTTTAAAATACAGAATAAATGATGCTTTAAATATGAAGATGGAGAAAACATGTACAGTAATGCATGGTGCTATAATTGCATTATATTTATAATTATAATTATTGTTATAATGCTGTGAAATGAGATTCACTTCAAAATGGTGTGGACATTTAAAGATGAAAATGAAACTCAAAATGAATGTAAACAACATTAAATGTTGTTTAATGTTAAAAAAAATATATATATATGATACGTTTTCAGTTATATAAGTGATGTGGATAGCTTCAAAACTGACTGAAAGTGCCTGAGGTCAAAATTTATTAGTAAGTATTATAATATTTGTTACATATTATATGATATATTACAATCTTAAAGAGTGTACAAATCTACCTGTCATCCTTTGGTATAAAAATGTGTTACAAGTGTCAAAATATCATAAATAAACTTGAATCAAAGACTTGGATCATAATATTGAATTTAATACAAGAAGTCAGCGTGCTATAATCAGCCTCTAAGTGAATGGTTGAGGAAGTTGTAACACTTGAAAACAAGATGTTTTAGACAGCGGAAAAATAATATTTACAGAAAAACAAGAGTGAAATCCAAAAGCCAAAATTGTATACCTCAATTTTTTTTTTATCATTACAAATTTTTGTTGTTGTTGAAAATTTCTGTCATAATATAATCTGATATAATCACACCTTTTCTCTAGTGTGTATAATTGCCCCTGATTTCTCATTTATTTAGAGTTGTGCTTTGGCAAGTTATTTCTGAAAGAGATTTAAGTGTATTTGCATCACAGGTGTGGCTCTTCTGCAGTGTGGTGGGTTTCAGATTCAAATTTCAAACATACATCAGCTCTACATTTCTACTCTTTCAGTGCTTCGTAGCATATTGTCATATTAAAACATTACTTTTATACAGTGGGTATAGAAAAGAATCACCCCCTTTAAAACAATCACATTTTGTTGCTTTGCAGCCTGAAATGAAGACGGACACAAGTCTTTGTTTTATCCAGCTGTATTTACTCAGTGCAACTTATAACATCCAAGTGAAAGATAATAACACCAACATGTCAGAAAAAACATAAAAAAACAGAATCATTGAGTTGGAAAAAGGATCACCCCCTTTTGTCAGTATTTTGTTGAACCACCTTTTGCTTTAATTACAGCCTTTATTCTGTTGGGATATGACTCTACTAACTTTGCACATCTAGACTTTACAATATTTGCTCACTCTTCTTTGCAGAACAGCTCAAGTTTAGTTAAATTTGATGGTGACCATTTGTGGACTGCAGTCTTCAAGTCATTCCACAGATTTTCAATGGGTTTAAGTCTGGGCTCTGGCTAGGCCATGCAAGAACATTCACATTTTTCTCCTTCAACCACTGTGTGCTCAGTTTTGCTGTGTGCTTTGGGTCATTGTCATGTTGGAAGGTACACCTTCTTCCCATTGACAACTCTGTTCTCAAAAATGATATGTTCTCTGCATTATGCAAGCATTTTATGTTTCATATATACCCCATTAATGTTACTTTCCCCTCTTTTTGTAATAGAAATATTTGTAACATAAGATGCAAGAACGTTCAATTGTTTTGTCTGCTAATTATATTCATATTGATTTGATATTGTATATATTTTTATATGAATATTTATATTTATTTATTTATTTTCATTAAATATACATTTTCATTTCAATTAAAAGAATTTGGATTTCATTACATTTTCCAATAAGAGCACACAAAAAAAGATAAATGTAAACATACAAAGGTAAAACAAAAAATTTCAATACACAAAAAATTTCAAATAGAATACAATTCAACACTCACAAAAAAATGCACACAATCAAACTGAAGGATTACAACTATATACATTAAAATATTAAACTGTCTTGTTCAATAAGCTACATGGAGACTAGAGTGCTTCATATGCATGTATGTACAAATACATTAAAACACTATGCTTGAACATATTTTTTTTTATAATCTAGTTGTGAATTTATTTGAGATTACAAATATATGTGCATCAGTCGCTTCTCTCGTACCATAGTGCTCCCCTCTGTGGCACTCCAAAGTAAGGACCCCAGTCCTCTGTGGGTGAACAGGCTGCTTTGATACGCTGAATGACAAAAGCCAAGCGATCAGAATCAAATGGTGCATGGCTAAAGAACACAATGCACCACTGGCATACTACACATGTTAATATATAGTCTTTAAAAATCTTTACAATCCTTTATTTTTTTATTTTTTTATTTTTTTATCAGATAAAACATGAAAATCCCACTTTACCTGCCAGGGGCCTCCACTTGCTTTGTATACTTTCCAGACTGCAACAATAGAGATCCAAATGAGGCAAAATGCAGTCATACACCAGCCCACAGAAATGCCCCAAACTGGATATGCAACTGAGCCATATGTGGGGGAAGTGAAAGTATACAAAGACCATACAAGAATAATCTGCAAAAAAAAATATATATAATAATAATAGTAATCATTTCAAAAACAACATAATTATTAGATATAGATTTGACTAAATAAACATTTTTTGCTGACGAGAAAGTCAAAGTTGCTGACTAAACAATACTAAGTCCGAGATAAGAACCCACTAAAAGCTACTTACATGTAAAATGTTTATTTATTAACATTAACATAAAATAGTCAATCTATTCAAGACTAATATTTTTGGTCACGTTTTCCAACAGGCAGATATAGTATATATATATATATATATATATATATATATATATAAATCCAACAAGCTCTCCACCAGAACCAGAAGAGGGCGCTCTTAGTCCCAATCATCATCTCGATGTCTTTGATGAATCGATTTCCACCTGAAAATGTAAATGCATTTTAGAAAAGAATAGAACAATAATTGGAGACAACATATATCATTATCACATATTGCTAATGTATACTGACCATACAGGATGGATAGACCTAACGACCTCCAGTAATCCAGCAACCAGGAGAATCCATCCAGCACAAAAAGTGTCAATTAAATTCACCCAATATATTCCTGCCTATCAAAACAAAACACGTTTAAACATACAACTGGGATCACACTGTGCAGAATGCCCTTATTATCCTTTCATGTAATGCAATTTTATAATTGTAATATTTTAAGGTTGGTCTTACATGTCTTATAAAACGTGAATCTATATTCGTAATGGTTTGCCTACCCCAGTGACACATGGCAAGCGAGCAAAAAGAGAACAATGCAGACTGCTGTTGTAACAATTCCTCGTTTGGACTTTAAAACTTTGGGTAGGATAGGCATCCTGGAGGCAGGTGGCGATAACCTCTGAAGACAAATCATGATTCACATCAAATATTTGAGTACATTTTTTCTTTTTCTTTTTTTTATTATTGTATCTAAATCTGCTTTTCTTTACCTATTCCTGCAAACTGGGAGTCCAAGCCAAGGAGTAATAAGCATAACGAAGAACAGGACTGACCACAGGGGTGAAATTGGCAGCTTAGAAAGAGCATCAGGGTACGCAATGAAGGCCAATGCAAAACCTAAACCACAAACTGGGGTTTAGCTTCTTCAAAAAAAAAAACAAAAAAAAAACACTTAAATGGGTCATATGATGCGATTTGTAGAAAACGAAGCGTTTGAGAGAGGCGGGGCATAGAGGACCTACAATAATGTACAGTATTTGAAAAATAATGTGTTTTTTGAACATTAAAGCATGTCAACATATTCTGTTACACCAAATACACAAAATAATGATCTTTAAAAAAGCATCATATGACCCCTTTAATAAGGTAATTGAATTGTACGATTTCTCATGTTATTCCAAACCTGTATCCTGTATTTTTATTATTGTTTTTTTTCTGTAATACAACCCAAAAAAGTAGGTTTGAAACAACATGAGAATGAGTACATCATGCTTGAATTGTAATTTTTGATTAAACTATTTCTACAATGACTCATTCGAATCATTCACCAAAAGATGATGATAATTTTTTACTCTTTCTCATGTTATTCCAAACCTGTATGCTGCTTTTTTTTGTGTGTGTGTGAAACAACCAGAACAAGTAACAACCAGAGGATGAGTACATCATGCTAGAATGTTTATTATTGTTTAAAACTATTTCTTTAATGGCAAACTACACCTTTTATTACTTCCTTTGTTTTAAAAGAACTCTTAAATGTTCTGCAATACACTCTTCTGATTACTGAAAAATGAAAAACAACCCTACATTTACAATTCAGATCTTACCAGCATCTGCAACTTCTGACACTGGTCTCCGATAGACATGCGCCATGTGTCCAAGGATAGAAAAGATGGCAAAGCCAGCAAAGACACTGGTGCCACAGTTTGTAACACACACTATAATGGAGTCTTGGTAGCAGTTGTTGTAAAACTTATTGTAAGAGGACAGAGCCATCAAACCACCCCAGGCAATA